ACAGCAATTAACCACTAAGAAGAATATATGCAGTGTGTTATTTGTTAAATCTGTACTGCCGATTTGATTTGAAACTGTGTCATTGCTATCTGTTTATCAATAAAATTTTGAAAAAAAATACTTCAAAGGAGACATCTTCTCCTTGCCATTCTATTGGTGACTGCCTCCACAGGCCCTGTGCCACCACCCTCTGCCCTTCCCATCATTCCTGCAAAGTGAAGGCAAGTGGCCCAAGTGGCTTTCTTCCTGGAGCGGGATACGGGCTGATGGACTGCATGAACGCGGGTGTTAGCAGTAAGCTGAGTGACGAAGCCCATGAAAGAGTGAGAGATGATGGTTATATTGGGGCTTGGGCACTTGATCCTCCGCTGCCTAGTGTTTGACCAAATTCTTGGCTCCCAGAGGCAATCAGGTGTCTGGCCTAAACCACTGGTTGTACACAGGATCTAGACAAAACCAGGTTCTTTCCTCACACTCAGCATGAACCCTTAGATATGATACCCTCCACCTTAACTTTTCCTTCCTTCCTTCCTTCCTTCCTTCCTTCCTTCCTTCCTTCCTTCCTTCCTTCCTTTGCTTTTTTAAATGCAGGCTGCCCCTGAACTCACTGTGTAGCCCAAGCTGGCCTGGATCTCACAGAGATCCTCCTGCCTAAGCTTCCTGAGTGCTGGGATTTCAGGCATGTGCCCCACACCGGGTCACATTATCTTTTAACATGTCAGCAGCACTTGAACTCTGCTCCCTTCTCCCATGGCCTACTCCATCGCCCTCCTGACGGTTCTTCTGGCTGGCTTTGGTGGATGAGCCTGGCCCAGTGCTCCTGGGCCTCTTGCATGCAAACGCACAGCGGCCCAGGTCCATCAGGATGTGGTTTTTGCCATGCACTCATAGGGCTCCTGGCCAGGCCACCTTGCATCCTTCTCCTCGGCAACCTCCCGGGCCCAGGCTCCAAATGTACCTTCCTTCCTACCAGCCTTGGGCACATCTGTCTGGAAAAGTCCTCCCTAGCCTTCCAAAGTCCCTTGACTGACTTTTAACCTCCTCAATGCACGGAGCCCAGCCAGTGTAGAAAGCCATGACAACTGGAAAATCCTGAGTTGCTCTCCCTGTGTTTCTGGCCCCGGTCTCCACAGGGCCTAAAGCCAAGAAGTCAGGTGCGCTGCACATTCTTATGAGAAAAGTTGCTGTCTCATAGGGGGGTTTGGCCCTGTAAAAGCCCTCCTGCCTAGCTACAGAGCCACGCTCTACTCCGAACTACAGAACCCTCCAGGTGGGTGGGCCAGGGGGCTATCGAGGAGCTGGCGTTTCCAACCTGCCTGTGTGTGCCCAAGTGCTCAGTGCTTGGGGCACCCTTCTGAAGCTCGCTGTGCACACAGCACCTGTGTGGTCTGTCCAGCTGCTGGCTGTCCCATAAGGTCCTCATGGGGAACCCTTCCAGCCCCGCTCAGTCACCCCTGGGCTACACACACTGGCCTCTTCTTGGCACTTGTGTGTGCTGATACACACAGCCAGACAGCAAGCACGACCGCAAACGTCTGCCCATCTCTGCTCTGACCCTCTCCTGTCCCCCACCCCCCAGTCCCTGTCACCCACTGTCTCACAGCCCCTCACAGCACCCAGGCCCAGCTTGCTACAGCAGAGTTTGGGGGCTTCCACTCCTGGGTGAGGAAACTTCTACCTGTCCAGTTCTGCTAGCAGGACGCCAGGTCCCGCTCAACTTGCAGGCCCCTGGGCTCCAGCTGGGCTGTGGTCCCACTGAGCCCAGCGCAGCCACCTTACCTGCTGCCACAGTCACTGCGTCCGCCTCCCAGCTCGCTGTGCTCCTCAGGACTGCCTGCAGCTCTGCTGTGGCACTGCTCTCCCTCGCCACATCCTGGGGCTCCCGGCCTCTCCAGCCAGGCCTGGCCAGCCACATGCTCCTCCTTGTCCACGGCCAGAGCACTAAGGAAGAATGAACAGCTATGGTTGGGGTACTGCGGAGTGCTCTGGCTCACAGCCTGCAGCTGGCCAATGCCACCCTCCTGGGTATGGAAGGGACAGAGAGGAGCCAAACAATCTACTCCTCCCAGAGGACTGCAGATGGCTGCGGCCCTGTCACCTCAAAGGCAGCCTCTAAGTGCAGCAGAAGGTGCCTGGGCCTGTGATGCCCTTCCCGCCCTTGGGCCCAGCAAGCAGGGAGCATTACCCAGCTCTGGATGCTGCAACTCACGTCCTGCTCTCCGCTCATGCGAAGGTGGGTGTTCAGGCAAGGGGGACACCAGCCAGGACAATTGCTTACGCCTCCCATTAGCATTCTGGGCCCTCCCTCCAGGGCCCACTGGGCTGGGGCACGAATTGACAATTGCAGCACAGATGGCTCTCCAATCTTGGCTCATCCTGAACTCGATTTTCCAGCGTGCAACGTCTCTGAAGTGTTTCCCTCCTGTGTAAGTGGCCCACAGTTCTCGCAGCCAGACAGCACCATTTCAGTTGTCCACGTCTCTGTCCAATTCTGAATGCCCCTCCGCCTTGCTGTACCCTCCCCGCTAGCACACTGTTGGCAGCAGGTGTCAGCACCCTAAGTGATGCTTGCAATGTGCTGTGATGAGGCCACCATGAGAGCCCTACCCCTGCAGCAGTGCAAAAGGGAAAACAGCATGTTTCCGATGTAAAGTGTGCTGGCCAAAGTTTCATGGGAAGGTGACGAGATGCTGTGTTGTATCAAGTGGGGGCTAGTAAATGTGATGGGGGGGCAGCTTTCTGAGGCTTCCTGAATACGGTTTCATTTAGGGTGAAGGTTTTAAGTATGTAAGGTCAAGCAGTGTGTTCAAAGCTTTAAATAGAGACAGTTGTCTTTTTTTATTGGTCTTTTTTTAATCCCTTTGTTATCAGAGATCGAACTCAGGACCTTGTGCTTGCCAGGCAGGCACTTAGGCTGCTGAGCTATCTCCACAGCCCTCATACTTGAAGTATATAAAGACGTTTAGGTCTCACAGCACCCGCCTGGCAGGAGCTATTAGCACTAGCACTGTACATGTAAGCAAAGTGAGGCTCAGAGACGAGTAACGCAGACCTTGCCGGTGATCAAGCTTGGCTGTGGGCCCGATGGCAAGCCTGGGCGATCGCCAGCCACCATGTCCTTCCACTGTCTACTGCCAGGTACTGGGGCAGGATCCCTCCCTAGCAGGCGCATCTACACAGCCAGGAACAGCTCCCAAGTAGGGCTGCAGTGCTCCGCGGGCTGGCAGCAGCCCCATCCCTCCCGTCAAAGGCCAGGCCGGGTGGCCGAGCACCACGTCGCGGCCCAGACCTTCCAACGGTCCTGGTGGCAGGGCCGTGCTGCCCCCTGCTGGCCGGCTCGCAGCGCCACCGTCCACCATGCACGGAGCCGTACGCACTGCGGCCCCATGTGAACACACATCCCCGTTTTGCACTCCTGGACCTTGCGGGCCCGGCTCCTCACCCTTCGGACTGTCCGCGCGGGGTCACTGCAAGCGGGGCCTCCTGGCAGTTACTACAGACCACTACGCGAAGGGTGTGATGGGGGAAGGGTGGCGACAGCCCAATGCCCTTGGGGCGGGACTCAGAAGAGCGGCGGGGCCCATTTGTGATCCTCCAGCGCCACCTCGTGGCTGGCATGCTCTGGGCCCCGGGAGAAATTCCGTCTAGGCCAGTCTTGCTGCAGAGCCATTTTGCCCAGTAGTAGGAGCTCACATTTCCCGGCTGGCTCCACATCCGGAGCTCAAGGCCTTAGGAAATGGCGGCATGCGCACGCGGGGAGGGCCACACACTGGCGCGCACATTCTGCATCATGCAGCCCCGAAGGAAGTGTTCTGCCCGTCTTTTTTTTTTTTTTCAGCCCCAGGCTGCGTTCCCAAGGAGATAAAAAAATTTCTAGAGCAGATATTGTTGCATTTTCAGCCAGATAGTTGTGTCTTTTGGTTTAGGAGATCAGTTGTTGTTCTGTGCATTATAAAATGTTTAGGAGCAACTTTACCCTTAGAAGCCCAATAGTACTCTTATGTTCTGCTTTGGCAGCCAAAAATTTCTCCAGATGTTAGATTCCTTGCTAAGGTTCACAGCACTCTGAGAGATTCCCCTGCTCATGACCAGTACTATGCTACAGTGGTTGGTTTTTTTTGTGTGTGTGTTTCTCTTTTTAGACAGGGTCTCACTATGCAGTTCACATGGGCCTTGAGCTCACTTTGTAGCCCAGGCTGATCTAGAACTCTCAAATATCCGTGTGCCTCAGCCTCCTGAGTGTTGGGATCACAGCTGTGCACCACCATGCATGTCTATTGTGCTCCTTGACCTACACTGGAAAAGAGAAGGTATATGACCTTTTAAAAATACAAGCATGATAGAAGCTCACCCCAGAATAATTAAATCCAAATCTCTATGTGGGGCTCAGGAAGTGTTTTGTTTTTTTCTACTTCCCAAGTACTCTCACGTGCACAGTTTGTTAAACACTCATCAAAAAGTTGCATCCAGCGGTCCCCTGCTTATCGAAGTCACGTTGCACACATTCCCGTGATAAGTGAAGATCAGTGAAGTAGCAACGCTATAGTTTAGTATTTATATATATTTTATGAATTTATAAACCCTTCCTACACTTTTTTTCCTCTAATATATTTGGTACAGGGTCTCACTAAGCAGCTCAGACCCACAGCAATCCTCCTGTTTTCAGGCTCCCCAGTACTAGGATGACACGTATGTGCCACCACACCCAGACTTGTTTGCTGGCTCACCATTCCGCAGAGGGGACCCACTGCACCATGTAGTGCCAAGATGGAACTCCAGTCCCTGTGCTTGCTTAAGCAGGCGCTTATTCCGCTGAGCTATCTCACCAACCCCCGTCCACACTTATAAACCTTTGCCACACTTTTAAAAATACTTCTAATATTCTTAACCATTTTCAAAATGCGTAAACCTACATAGTTTTAACAACGTGTGTGTACTATACAATACTAAAGAAATACATACTGTAAACAGCGCCCACAAGCATCAGGGGTTCTTGAGCTCTTCATATATACTATCTGCTCTTGCAGGAGTCCTACTAACCTGTCACAATGCAATCCAAAAGCCGCCCTGCCACCAAGTGGAACCCAGCCCCACTTCTCCTGCAACAATGCAATGTCCCGACCTGTCCCTTGGTCAGGAGGGAGGCCAAGCTTTGTGCCCTTTCGGCCTCACAGGGCCTTGAAGGCAGAGCCATGCCTGATTTGTCTGAGTGGTCTAGTGCTTGCTGACTGCAAGCACAACCTTTCCTGATCATGCAGCACTTCCTGGCTGGGTTTCGGAAGTGCCCGCTGGCCACAGAGGCAGAGGTCAGAGGGTCCCAGCTGGAGCTTGCCCCTGCCACGTGCCCTGTCCAGCTGACAGGCCGGGCTGGCATCACCTTCCTAGCCCGAGGCTGATGCACACCCAGCCGCCAGTGTGTACCTCAGAGGCTCAGCACTGTACATTAATGCCTTACCCCTTGGTGTCTTCCAGGGCTGCTGCAACATCACTCTTCCTGCCAGCCAGGACAGCAGGCGCTGAAGTAGTGCTGGAACACAGAAGGAAGCCCACAGGGCCTGTGAAGTCTAGGACCAGAGGAAGCTGAGGGTCTCCTCTTCCCAGCTTCCTTCTCTCAGAAAGGGGGCTGTTTGCATGAAGCTCAGCTTCTCAGGACAACCCTGGAGCCACCTGTCCTTCCCAGCCGTGCAGTCCCTGGGATTGAGCCCCCTAGTGCTGACTGGAAGTCCCTGGGATTCCTCACTCTGATTCTTCTTGCCAGGCCAGGGTGCAGTTACGACGGGAAAGGTTCACTGTGGTCTCTCAGCAGGAAGTTTCCAAGCTGAGCTGTACAGTGCCCTACTGGCTGCCGCTGACCCCCAGCCCACTGGCTTCAGTCCACATACATTGCTGCTGGAAGGCCTGGTTCAACAGTTATCACCAGTCCCTTTTCCCCTCCACCCCCAGTGGGTGGGGGCAGTTCCTACTCAGGACTCTCCTGGGTCTCTATGTCCTTTGGTGACCACACCACGTGAGGATAACATGGATCTGAGAATTGTGCAGGGTCCCCGGATTACTGGAGCCTGAGGCTGAGCCCTAAAGGCTGTGCCCAGCAGGGGGGTCAGTCACTGGAGCAGCCACCACACACTCACCTGATAGCCAGTGGCTCAGGCTTGCAGGAGTGAGAGCCGGCACCGTGCACATCATGGTCATCCAGCAAAGGGGTGAAGCTAGCAGTTGGGCCCCGCCTGTGGAAGGAGGCCAAGCCTGGTTGAGGTTCAAGACTTTGTGTCTGTCTGTCTATCTTCTCCCAACAAATGAGGGGGTGTCAGGAGCTGGTTGAGTGGATGCTTGTAGCACCATGGGGTGGGAGGCCTGACTGTACCCAAGGCAGCCTGGCACGTGGGCCAATATGGCAGTGGGGCTGAGTGAGTGAGGCTGCCTGGGCTTAGATCACAGCTGCATGCCCTGAGCATGCCCCAGCGCTGCCATCTGCTGGGTCCCATGGAGAGGACATGAACTCGTAACCAAGTACTGCGAATGAATAATGGCCGGCCGTGGTGTACACTATGTGCTCCCACTCCTCCTGGGCCCTGGGCCCTCTGTGTCACCCTGGCTGTGCAGGTGTGGCAAGGCTCTCCTTACCCACGCTTCCCATGAAACAGGCAGACTGGTGCTCACAGGGTGCCTCGTGGCTAGACAGGCCCAGGCCTCCCCTCAGGTAAGCCCTTGCTCAGGGTTGCTTGCATCAACCCGAAGCCCTAACTAAGCTCAGCTGCCGCCAAGGCTCAGGAAAGCAAGTGCAAAAGGAAGGGGACTGTTTCCCTGAGAAACCACCTAGACTTCAGACAGACGGTAGAGGAGCTTCTGACAGATCACTGCAAGCTATGAAGGCAGCCGGAGCAGAGAGGGCAAGCCCTCCTAACATGAGAGAAGCCTTCAGGTTATTGTGCAGGTTACTTTGAGGCCTGCTTTCACATTAAAAAAACATCAAGGCAAGTGAAAAGTGTTTTATGTGGCTGCATAGAGAAAAGGCGGTGCAGACGAGTGCTTAGGGAAGGCCTCCACCGGGGCCAAAAGGACATCGAGTCAGGCCGTGGCACTGAGCAGTCTGTAGCCCAGGAGACACAGCGGCCTTGCAGCAGGGCCCGCTCTCTCCTCCCTGTGCGCTGCTGCGCCTGCATTGGGCTAGAAGATTCACTCAGTGAAGTTAATGAGGAGCAGCTCTTCTCCAGCACCCTGGCCAAACCCCCAGGGCTCCAGCATAGTTCAGAGCCAAAGGACCTGTGCCAACATTTGTAGGCCTACGCTCTGTTCCCAGGGACAACTCTGAAGCCACTTTGGGGACAAGCAAGACCAGGGCATTCTCCAAATCATCTGAGAAGGTGGTCTTTGCCTGCACCCAGAACCCAAGATCAGGCTGTCACAGCTGTCTCCCAGGGCTGCTGTGTTCCCTCTCACCAACCCTCAGATGAAGGGGCCAGGTAGGGGTGAAGCATGCACAGGACGCCTTGGGGCATCTTGTCCTTTGGGAAGGGAAAGTGCAGGAAGTCCTGGCCAAGCCTCAGCACTGAGTCAGGAAGCAAAGGCGCTGTGCCTTCCCCACACGTTCACTCTACCTGCCCAGGACTGGCCTTAGGGACAGGCTGGGCCTCTGCCTATGAGTGGACCCAGTTCCGGGCTGAAGGACTCTGCGAAGTGAAGCTGGAGCAGGGCACAGGAAAACCCACAGAGAAGGGGAGAGCCCAAGGGCAAGAGGCACAGCGAAGAGTGCGCATGTGGGCGAAGCCATAGAGGGCACCCCAGAAAGTGACGAGTGCTCCATTCCCAGTGCCCCAAGCAGTTCAGCAGCTTGAGCCTGGCCTGTCCCCAGGCATGGGACAGCACACATCGAAGCTCACCCTCCCCTCTTGGAGCCAGTATCTGCTCCAGCCAAGCCTTCAGGTGGAGACTCTGTGACTCCAGATTCCACGGGGCTATCACTCAGCTGCAGATTTGACCTGTTATGGAAAAGAAGTGTTTGCTAATTTTTTCCCCTTCAGTGCTAGGGACTGAACCCAGGGCTCCGTGTGTGCTAGGCAAGCACTCCACCACTAAGCTGCAGCCCGGCTCTTGCAAAGTCTCATTAGGCTTTGATTGTTTTCTGACTGTGACCTGAGAGCCAGCCCTTCCCTGCACTGCTGCCCTGCCTTGCTCTGACTGAAACCCAGCTGAGGCCAAGTGGACTCTACCAGCAGACTCTCCTCTGGGCTTCTTCTAACCTGATGCAGCGAGGGCGAACTGAGCATGCTGGGAGCTGGTGGCCAACACCGCTCTTCGCTCTCAAGGACTCGGAGTCCTGACGGAGGCCCGTGGGCTCGGATATTCTCCTGGCTGCTAGATTCCCACAGAGGAAGCACCCTGCCTGTGGACACCACTCACACACCCAGCCCCACTGGTCTGGGACACGTCTGTGGGGCAGCTGTATGGGGAGTGGGCACCTGTCATCCCTAACCCCAGCTCTGACCTCACTGACCCGGTCCCCTTCACTGGTTCCCTGGGGCCCTAGGGAAAGCCCTTGCTGAATGCTTTATAGAGACCCCACATTTTTTTTCTCACTGAATTCCCTAAATTGCTTAGTGGCCTGCTTTGAAGGCCACTGGCATGGCTGCTTAGTCCTGGAGTGAAAGCATAGTGAATGGAAGGAGCCGGTGAGGGCTAAATGCTGGGGTCCTGCTCTACAACAGCCTGCCTCGGGGACCTTGAGAGGGGGGCTGCCACTCTGTAGGTCTCATTCATTCATGTTCACCAAAGACCTGCACTATCGCAGGGGACACAGCAGGAATAACACTGTCCCGGTCCCAACCCCATCCATTGATCTTGGGCCAAGAGGACTCTACATCTGGACACAGCATTGACTCTGCAGTGAGTTACCTTTCAGAATCTGTACTGGGGCCCTCAAAGGTCTCCTCACCAATGGAGCTTCTTTTGGGCTCTCTGGAGCAGGGGCCCTCCTTATCTTGGTGGCCTGGAGACCTATGAAGCAAAGAAATAGAAATTAATGGTGCAGTAAGCCCCCCTTTCCCAGGTGGGGTAGCTGCCTCATCCCCAAATGGCAGCTGTCTCAAAGAAGATTAAAACATGCTCTTGATGGAGGGGTTGACTCGCCAAACTTTGACACCAGTGTCTAGTGTTCCTTGGGGCCAGTCTTATTGTCATGGCTTTCCATGTTTGAACTCTGTACACTGACAATGATGTCATTGGTTCCCATTTTCCAGGAGGCCAGTGATCCATTTGAAGTTTCCACTGGTAACAAGAAGCAATAGGGTTTGAATCCAAGGTAGCCTGCCTGCACAGCTTTCGACGGTATTCCTGCACAGTGGAAGTCTAACTCTACCCTCCTAACTCATTCCCTGTGTGTTTCCTCTGGGAACATCAGGGGGCCCCAAGTGTCAAATCCAACAGAGACATTGTCTCACACTACCATCAGTAGCCACCGAGCAACCCCTACCCTGATTGCCACCTCTCCACCCTGGCCACACCTTGCTGGCCTCTGTTACCTTCCTCGCTTCTTTCACCCCTTAATCTTGTTGTTACCAGTGTTCCTCCCTGTTTGAGCATTCCACGGCATCAGCTGTCATGGTGCCTGAGCTAATTACTTCCACGTGTCTCCCAGGACACTCAAAGAGGCACAAGACATGGTGTAAGACAGCTGGGCAGGTGACACTAGAGACCTAGGCCCAGAGGGGGCAGTGGCAATGGGAATGCTTCGACAGGAAAATGGCCAGGGGTGAGTGCAGGGCTAGTGAAGGGAGCCAGAGAAGAGTATAAGATCACTCTGAACTCACTGCAGATCATCTGGAAAGCCTTTCCTGTGTTGCCGCTCTGGGGCCTGAGGGGTCACCTCCTGTGGAAACCCCTACTTCCCACCCCAGACTGTTTCAATCTCGATCTCTCTTAGTCACCTGCACAGGTCTCCTGATCCTGCCTGCATGTCCCCTGCTTGGCTTCCCCCAGGACTAGGCCAAGCCCACTGTGCTCCCTACTGTTTGCAACCCTCTATGCCCTCTTCCTCTTAAGCAGGGCTCCAGGAGGCTGATCCAGGGACTTTAGGCACTGCCAATGGCCCCCTCACACAGGCAACACAACTGCCTCAGTGGCTTCAGAGGGCACAAAGACCCAGTGGTCCCACTCAACACAGCTGGCCATTTTTGTCACTTCTCAGGAGGTCCCATGGCCATGTGGGGACCAAGTGCTCCTTCCATGGCGATTGCTGAGTGAAATAATGAGACAGCTATGTTTCCCACCCACCTGCCAATCGAGCAGGCCCATGGAGCAGGACCACCTGGTGGCCCCGGACCCTCTGCCTGTTTCTAGATGGTGTGCAGTGACACGAGACAGCAATAGGGCCAAGTATCTCATGTCTTCTAGGTTTGGGGCTACCAGCCAGACCTGCCCTGGGTGTGGTGATCAGTAGGTGACACTCCTCACCTCTCGAACTGCAAGCCAGAGGGGCCAAGCAGGAAGGAGCTGGCAGGAGAACTCGTTCCTTCCCCACCTGTGCTGGTCATGCAGCACAGGATGTTCTCCTGTGGTGCCTCTGCTTGAACAGCACCCTCACCACTTCTGCTCATGTCCCCTCTTTGGCCTCAAGCTTTCATGGCGCCAGAGCTGAGCTGAGGCCACTGACCCATGGGTTGTAGAGGAAGGGGAGTGAATGGCGCTTCACCCATCTTCTACCCAGACCTCAGCCCAGCCCTCCCCCTCAGCCACAGCAAGAGGCCCTCTGGGTGGAAATGAGATCAGATCTGGTTTGACAAAGGGAAACCATGGAACTGGCCATTAGTAGGCATTATAGGTCTGACATGATCAGACTGATACTAGAAAGGCCACACAGGAGTCCCAGGAGGAGGGGTCAGAAGCAGCAGGATAAAGGCAGGGAGTTCAGTAGTCCCTCACTTTCAGCTCCTGGGTGGCTTTGCCACTCTCAGTTGGCCTTGGAGTTGACCCTAGTTCCTGGCTCCAACCTAGACTGGGAGCCTATGGAAGGCTAGGTCATCTTTTTGTCCCTTTACCTCCACCCTGAGCAGGGCCTGAGTGTTGAAGGTGACCAGAGGGACTTGAAGGGACAGGGTCTACACACCACAAAGCCAGGAGGGACAAGGCCACACAGACAGCTCTCAATGCTGCTCATCTCCTCTCGTGATGACAATGTGATGTCATTATTGGTGGTGTTGTTTATGGTGCCAGGCCCACTGTACCTCGTTTACACCGTATTATGCCAAGGAACAAGGATATATCTGCCTTGGGAATGTCCAAGCAATTAAAATATCTTCTTTCATTATCATTTCTGGTTATCTCTGAGAGTAATAAGGACAGAGTGTCACCCCAGCGTGTGTCTTTCACATCCTTACGCCTCTTGCCCAAGCAAGCACCACTTTCTTTGATGTCCTCTGCAGAACAGCACCTTAAAGATTTCACTCGAATGGCACCTCCAGAGGGGCAGTCAAAGGGCTGCACTGTGGCCTCAAGGCTGTGCCGAGGGCAGCCCCGCCGGCAATGGGGTCTTTGCAGGCACTGAAATAAGCTGAGCTCAGACCTCACCCTGGACCAGTGTCCTACTAGACAACGGGAATTTGGGCCAGGCACACAGAGTGACAGCTAGTGACCCCCAGAAGCTGGGTGGGGAGTGGCAGGGGGCTCAAGGCTCTGTGCCCCTCTGGGTTCCAGCCCCCAGTGAGCAAGCTTTGTTCCTCACAGCAGGCCCAGGGAAGCACCCAGGAGAAGGGGTGGTCAGCACCCAGGCTACAGGATGGCCAGAGCCCATCAGCTGTCCCGGCATGGAGGCCAGGACTCAGGGGGCCATGGGGGCGCTGAGCTGGGACCCCCAGGGAAAGGCCACTCGCCAAGCTGGCCTGGCTGGCTCCACCAAAGCCACTGGGGAGAAGGCCATGTGGGGACCCAACAGAAAATAAAAGGGTACCGCCACAATCCAGGAAAAGCTAAGGTCTGACAGCAACAACTGAAAGGAAAGCCCAGAACAGATTCTTCCTGGAGCCAGCAGACAAAGGAAGACCATGCTGCTGCCTGATCTGACTCCCAGCCCTGGAACAGTGAGGAGAGTTTGTGCCGTCTCACGTCGCCCCCTCACTAGCTCCCCTTCGAAGCATCTTCAGGGAGCCCAGGGGCCTTCCGGCTTGTCCTCTCCTGCAGCTGCCTGCCCAGACCTCAGCCACAGCAGCTGTGATCCAAGTGGAAGTTTATAGCTGGCCTGAGTGCTCCTGGGCTTCACGGGGCACAGAACATTCTAGAACACTGCATGTCTTGGAAAGTGCTCAGGGAACAGAGCCCGATGTCTTCTGAAGCCGTCGGCCTCATGCTAGGTTCCACTGTGGCCCCAGACACCTGTGGGAATGCGTGACAGGGAACTGTGCCAAATAGAAATCAGTATGGAGAGTCCTCCAATAACCTGAGCTGGGGAACGAAGACGCCCTCACGCACGATGGAGACAGGGTCTGCCGCAAGGAAGGGTAAGTTTGGGTCCCAGTAGGAAATGGGTGCGCCTGCAGACACGGTGCTAGATAAAACAAGGCAGACCCATAAGCAAAAATAGCACACTGTTTCTCTTTTTTTGTATATATTTGGTACAGGGTCTCACTACACACCTCGGCCTCGTAGTGATCCTCCTGTTTTCAGCCTCCCCAGTGCTGGAATTCCAGGTGTGCAGCACCACGCCCGGTCTCAATCCCAGTCTCAGAGTGCCCAGGGGTGGAGCTGGCACAGCATGTGGGGCCAGGGATCAAACCCGAGTCCTTGTGGTGCTAAGCAGGTGCTTAGTCTCTGAGCTACCTCACTGCCCCTTCCATGCGGTTTCTTTTATATGAGAAACCCGAAGCGTAAATGTTTCTTTTTTTAAAAAAAAAAGACAGGGGGCTGGGGAGATGGCTCAGTGGAATAAGCCCTTCCCTGGCAAGTGCAAGGCTTGAGTTCAATCCCCGGTTCCGCCAAAAAATAAAATATAAAATAAAAAATAAAAAAGACAAAATAAATGATAGTACAAAACAGAGAGATCAATCTTTTGTATATTAGAAAGGGATCTCAAGATGCAGAGGGAATAAAAACAATTAGGGTGTGCTACATACATGTCATACTCCCTAAAATAAATATTAACATGTACTGCAAATGTAAGTAAAAAGCATCTGGGTGGGAGCTCTGTGTCCTTTGCCACATTTTCCCAGGTGCCAGCAGGTGGCAATAGTGGCTTCTGCTGCATGGGGAGAAGGGCCCTGTAGGTCAGATGAACATTTATTCCGGGAGCATGCGGTGACAGCAGTGCCCAGGCCTGGCACCCACTTCCCACGTGGGGCAGCCTTTGGGAGCAGGTGCTACTGCTCCCCCTATTTTCCACGCGAGGAGACCGGGGCACAGAGAGATGAGAACACTTCCTCAGGGCCACACAGCCAATCTGGGCCAAGCCAGGCTTATATTTTGCCAGAAGCTACCTTCTTGCTAGCCGCAGCGGTGCATGCCTGCAATCACAGCACTCAGAAGGCTGAGATAGGAGGAATGTCACGAGTCCGAGGCTAGCCTGGGCGCCAAAGTAAGCTCAAGGCTTGCTGCACTATGTGGCAAAAATCCTCCCTCAAAAATAAAAAGAACAAAGAAAAGAGCACCTCTACTCTTACAGCTCCGCAGCTACTGTGCCTGGCAGCATTTGAGAAGCACAGGCTAGGGTGAGGCAGAGAAGCAGGGATGTGTAACCAGAGCAGGCAGGGGAAGCTGCCAGGCCGGGAATATCAAAGTGGGGCAATCACGAGGAGCTGACCTCCGGACTAGAGTTGAGGCAGGCAGCTGGGGCAGGAGCGAGCCAGGAAGCCACAGTCCCCGGGGGCGCTGTGCCTTGGGACAAGCATGATGCTGCCTCTCCCACCATGCTGTAATCCAGCCTCTTCTGGGCTGCTTCAGGCCCTACAGCTTGGTTAAGTCACTGCTGCCCACGCGCTAGTCTTCTCAGGCACACAGGAGTTGGCCCTGGCGTATAGACGGGGGATGTCTTGCTCAGTGTGGTGCCTGGTGGGATGGGTCAGAGAAGGCTGCTGGGGTCAGAGCCAGCCAGTAGCTCCCTTGCAAACAGACAGAATCAGTTTCAAATCTTTTGTGGCTACAGAATCTGAGGGAAGAAGTAGCCGAAGCATCCAACAGAGCTCCCTATTGAGAGACTAGATCTATGTCCAGCTTTCCTAAGCAGCGCCACTGCACACAGCTCCTGCTTGGTAGGGGTGCCATGCGGTGAGACAGATATGGTGTGTAAAATGTTCCACAGCCTAGTCCTGCGTCCTGGGCTACTCAGGCAGGTGCTGGGAGCAGCTGAAGCTGGAACTTGTTCATATGTGGGAGGGCAGGACGCGGCCGCAGTGCCCAAAACGGTCAAGCTACCAGAGTCCTGAGAAAAGCCACCCTGCCTGGTCAGTGTCAGCTCTCAGTCGCTAGGCAACCTTGGGTCACGTGACACCAACTTGGCAGAGGTATGAATGAACGCCCCTGCGGTCCTCTTGGGGTCCTTTTCCCATCAGGCCATGGGCTGCCACCTGACCCAGCTCTCGTCTTCCTGTCTAGCCTTTCCTCGTTCCCACCCCCATTTCTTCCCTGGGTATACTGACGGACCAACAGACTCCTACAATTGTTATGGAATGACTATGCCTTCAAAAGTTGTTTGGTTGGCAACCCAATGCCCAGTGCCTCAGACAGGGTATGCACCTGGAGTGGATTTGGAGCTAGGGCTTCAAAAGACGGGATTAAAGTAACCTGAGGCCACTAGGGTGAGCCCTCACCCAGTGTAACTGGCATCTTCATAAGAGGAGGGTAGGACACGGACACACAGAGAAAACTTCACATGAAGAAACAAGGAGGGAGAAAGTGGCCAGCTGCATGCTAAGCACAGAGGTCTTGGGAGCAACCAACCCTGCCCATACCTTGACTGTGGGTTTGTGACTTCTAGAACCATGAGGAACCACGTTCCTGTTATTTAAGTCACCAAGTCCATCCTACTTTGCTGCAGAAGCCTGAAGCCCCATCTTCCCTCAATCACCAAGTCCCCAAGATACTGCCTGGAGAAACTCAGAAACCTTCCTTCCCAAATCCTCAAAGGTTCTCGTGGGTAGAATTCTTGTGGAGGGAGGCAACAGAGCTGGCCCCTGGGGTAGCGGGCCCACATCTGCAAGGGCTTGTGGAGCTCAAGGTTCACGGCTGAAATGGAATTGAGAGAGTCACCGTGGAGCCTGGAGGCCACATGGTGGCCAATAGGGACACTCAGGGCTCTTCTGGGGTACCACGGAGGAACAGCTTTTAGCAGACCTGGGTTGGGACAAAGTTCTCAATCCAGGCAGCACCAACAGGGTGGTGATGCTCCCCGCAGGACTCAGCAGCATTCCGCACGAAGACAAGGAGGTATTGATAGTCCTTGGCCACACACAAGAGAGAGCCACAATCTGCCTGGACACCCAGGGCTTGGAAATCAGGGCGCATCACAGCCCTGTCTGCAGTGACATCAGCAGCACTCAGCCCTTCCCTGCCCTGTCACCCCACTGCCAGACCTGCCCTGGTTGGCAAGCCCGAAGCAGCTCTGAGCACCCACTTGGCCTCCAGGCTCCCAAAACGGCCAGGCACACATAGCATCCACTTGTTCCCAGGTTCCCGAGCCATGTGGGCTCTGTCGCCATCCACCCTGGCAAACCTTAAGGCTGGTAATTTCTCTTGGGATATTGTTCCACCACCAAGCTCAGTACTGCAAAGGTTAAGGTGACACAGATAAGCACTAAAAAAGCATAGAGCCAAGCATTTGCTCCCTGGAGGGCAGGCTTTTTTGCTTCTTTCAGCCCTGGGACATCCAACCATATGAGCCTTTACCAATTTTTGTACCCCATCCTGTCACTGGGCATATAGGGACAGTGACCATTGGCCTGGGAAGGGAGGTGGCCTTATAGAAGTCCTCAGGTGACTGAATGGCAGCAGAGAGGAGTGTTTGACTACCTGCTCAAGCCAGGAGTAGACAGTGCTGGGGCAGGTGGCTCGTGGCTCCTCTCCGAAGCTCCATCCTCATCCACCACCTCAATCCTGTGGGTGGAAGAGAAACTAAACTCGGGGTCTCCCTGGCTGCCCTGGAGCATGCTGCTCCTTTGACTCTCATGCCTCCAGGATAGCCACCTATGACTGAGAGGTGGCCCATTCATTCCTGCTCAGGATTCGACAGTGTACCAGGCTGAATGTGTCATCCATTTCATGTCCCCATAGAACCTGTGACTCTGACCTTATTTGGAAATAGGGTCTTTGGAGATGTAATCAAGGTAAGCTGAAGTCACAGTGGATTAGGGTGGCACCTAAATCCAAGACCAACATCCTATGAGGAGGGAAATCTGCACACAGACACAGAAAGGGTCATGTGCAAACAGAGGTGCAGAAAAGCCAAGGCATGCCAAGAGCTGCCAACAGCCAGCAGACGCCACAAGAGCGCCGGGGATGCTCTCTCCCGCAGGGCCCCGGAGGGAAGCGGCCCTGCCGACACCATGATCTCACGGTTCTGGTCCCGAAAGCTGGGCAATAAGCAATTTCCATGTTTCAAGCCACCCAGCGTGTGGGGACTGTTACAGTAGCTGCAGGAACCCAATACAGTCGGTAAGAACACACCATTCTCTGCCACTTCCTTTGTGCTGCCAAGCCCCTGCTCACTGTTTCCCTCCTCCGCCCTCTGGCCTTGGCACCCCGGGCCCTCTGCCTGGGACACTTGGCACACTGACCCCTCCACAGTTTTCAGTTCTCAGTGTGTTATGACACCTTATTTTGAAACTTTTCCTTGGTCAGGCAACTAAAGGTCTACAAAATCCAACTTTGCAGAAGCTTCTTCCTCACTGTCCATGCAATATTTTCTTCTTCCAGAACGTGCCCTGTGGCAACGAAGGACAGTGTCCTGACAGGGCGATCATCTTCTGTTTATCTCTGTTCACCCTTTAGGCCCCATCTCCAATGTGACAGTCGCCTCCACCTCCCAGGGCATGGCTCTTAGTGGCTCTATTCCTGGCCCTGGGTCAGGCCCCAGCTTTGGCAGGTAGCAAGTTATAATTTCTGCATCAGGCTTCCGCCTGCACTGAACTGGCTACTGGGACCATATGCACCACGACAGGCCTCCAGGTACTCGTGTGGCCTCCACAAGCAGCCTGAGAAGCCTCTCCCCAGTCTGCCTGCTCAGGGCTAGCAGTCACCACCGCTATGTCCCCTGTCCCCACACCCTCGACACCACTTACCTCTTCGCAATAAATGGAGCCTGTGTCTCCTGGGTGGGACTAGTGGAAAGGAAAGAGAAAGGCATAATGTTGGGCCGCACCCCAGGACAGGTAACATCTCACTCACTATTCCCAAAGGGTCCTGGGTCTCTCTCCTAGTCCGGGCACCTCACCTGCACTAATGCCAGTAGTCCTACTTTCTCTTTTACAGAAAATTCATCTCAGAGTCTGAGAAGATACAGCTAGGAAGCTTGGCAGGAGTATCTCTCACCCACCCTTCCACCCAGCAACAAAGACTGGCACCCCAAAGCATGGGGAGTGGCCCAAGCAAGGAGCCAGCAAAGGCCCGGCTCAGCCAGGCTCAGGAACCAGGCTCCTGCGGTGCAGGGCCTCTCTGCGATGAACTCACACAGGGCTCTTCTTGGCTGCCGACAGGACGTAGGAATGCTCCCGTGGGGCCGTCTTCCTCAGCACACTGCTTGCAGCCTCTGACCTAGGGCAGCACGGCATGGAGTCAAACTGGACACATCCTGCTGGCCTGGCCTGAGATGCCCTCCGTAAGATGTGGGACCACCGAAGGAAGGTGAGGGAGGTAAGCCCAGGGAGTGTCCCTCTGAGGATTCTTTTAAGAAAGTGTGGTGCTCCAGGGAAGGGCCATCCATGTTTGTGGAGCATGCGCAATGTGACCACACTGGCCTGAGTGCCACCATCCCCACACAGTCTCCCTGATCTCCCCACCCAGGGAATAGGTGCTACTACCCCCCACAGTTCTGGGGCCTCTAGTGACTTGCCTGAGGGCATATGCCCCATAGATGGCAGAGCAGGCGTTTGATTCTGTGGAGCACCAGGGCTCCTGGTTCTTCGATCTGCACTATCCAGGCTCAGGCCCTATGCTACCATGGAGTCCTCCCTGGGAACTGCTCATCTTCCAGGCCCTTCGGCATGGGCCACTGTGTTCCTTGGGCCACAGAAGGCTTGGCAGACACTGGCTCACACACAGCTGGGCCTTAGTTGGCAGGTGAGGGGCATTCAACTCTTCCAGGGCACCTGACTACTACTTTTGTTCAACTTTCTCAGGATTCTTTCCAGCAAAGCAGTAGAAAGTCCTGCAGAACCTATGAATCCAGCTCTTCCCTGGCACCACATTAGCTAGCATCAACCCCATGGACGGTTTTAAGGCGGTGCCCCAAGCTGAGTGGTTTGGAGACCAGTAGGACAGCACCTGTTCCCACACCCTGCGGGCCGCAGTTGATGGCCTGTGTGTTGCACATTTTGTGAGCTGAAAGGTCCACTGCCTTCTAGCAGTGTGCAAAGACACATTACCTCCTTTTCTGCTCATCCAAAGAGAAGGGCACCTCCAACTCTTCCACAGTCCCTGATACGGAGCTGCGCCTCACGTTGTAGGGAGCCCTGGGGAGGGGGAGAAGGATGGCTCTCACCCGGCCTAGCCCCTGCTCCCTGTCACAGGCTGGGACCCTCAGCAGCTCAGCCCCTGATGTCCAGTACCACTCGCACACACTGCAATCACTTTGACCCTCAGTTTTGGCCACTTTCTTCTCTGTCACAGCCAGCACTCTTCTCCTATTCCAATCCTAGCTGGCCCTCAAGACCCAGTTTGAATCTCACCTGTCCTCTAGAAATATTTGCCAGCTTCTCTGCAATGCAGGATAATGGGGACAAGACACAACAAGGTCAAGAGGTGGGGTCCCTAGGCACAGCAAGCACAAACCCACAGCTCTTGCCAGAGTCACCTTCCTTGGTCAAACAGGGTAGGGTCATTGAAAGGGACCTCAGAAGGAGATTTGAGGGGAACTCAAAGATTGATGCCGCAGAAATAGTTCCTATTTAGGCACAAAATGCCCAGGCCGATGGGCTGTCAGGCCCAGCAACCTCCTGAGCATCATCAGCCCCAACCCCGATTCCTCACCCTCTGCTGGGCTCTGGGTCACAGCTGCCCTGGCAGAGGACATCAAGCTCCTGGAAGCTGCTCTCCCAAGACTGCTCGGAGGCATGTGGCCTGCGGCCCTCAGCAGGCCCACGCTGGGGTGTGCCTCAGGGAAGGGGACTAAGTGGGTCTCAAAGCGCAAACTCACAGCTTCTTGTAATCCTCCGTGGTCATCTTATAGCCAGAGATGGAGGAGCGGGGTGGGCCGGTGTGAGCTGCTTTCGTCAGACCAGCAGCACTGGGAAGGGAAGAAGTGTCCATGTGTTCCCCTACAGGTGCCCTTCACTTCCTATCCTCCAGCCTCCTTGAATTATTTTTTAATCTTTTTTTGTGTATTTCTTATGGGGTCTCACTACGCAGCTCAGACTGGTAGTGATCCTTCTGTCTCAGCCTCCCCAGCACTGTGATTACAGGTGTGCACCAGCATGCCCGGACTCAGCAGCCAACACAGCACTCCCGGAATGGGCACAGTATGCGGTATCGGGGATCGAACCTGTGCTTGCCGAGCAGGTGCTTAGTCTGCTGAGCTGTCTCCCCAGCCTGACCTTTCCTTTCTAATAACACCCCAGCTCTGCCCGATGCCAAGGTGCTTGGACAGATCAGTGTCGTCAGCAATTGCGAGGTGCCAGCTGCCCACCCAGTCCCATCCCCAGGCCTCTCTGTCTCATGACCCTGGACCAGGCTCTGTTGCTTTCCAGTGCGCCACCCATGACTGTACCTTTTTGGAGCCCCATTGGTCCTGGGGAAGTGCCGCTGGGGTTGGCACGAGCTGTCTATGGGCTTGGTGAACACTCCCCTATGAGAGAGCCCAGAAGACACAACACTGAGGAATCAGGGCTCTGCACAGGGCATGTGGGAAGGCAGGCAAGGTCCTGCAGTCACTTACCGGATGATATAGCCAGTGGATGCCCTTGCACTTGGAGACCTACCGAGGTAAAAGGGGGCGCAAAGTGAAGCGAGGACAGGCTGGAGGCCCGAGCTGCCTCCTGCATCCTGCCCCTAGCTACAAGCAAAGCAGCTGGCTGCTGGGGATCCTAGGGAAGTGGAAACAAGGGAAGTCAGCTGCCCCTCAGTCTTAGCCTGGTTGCCAGCTCTGCTCCACCTGCTTCCCTTCTCCCCCACGAAGTTTCCATAGCTGACTCTCCTATGGCCAAACCCAGTGTGGTCCTGATTCAGAGCAAGTCCCCAACGAGGGTATGTCCCATGACTGCAGAGGTGTCCATCCCCTTCAAAGTCCAGCTTCTCCCAGCCCTGGCATTCTAGAGGGGGAGCTCTTCTTGGCCCTGCTTGCTGGCAGCCCTGCTGGCCTCTGCTCCCAGAGCTGACCTGGTTTGGGCCAGAGGCTCCCTGCCTGGAGCCCTGGGCTTCCTCCCCCAGAGCTGCATGCGTCTCCAAATGGAAAAGCCTCAGCTGAGAAACATGTCCCCCAGCCAACCAGCTCTGATGAGTAGACTGTCCTCACAGTCCTGCTCGCCTTAGCCACAGTACCTGTCCCAATGTGGAAGTCTGTTTTGCCTTTGTCTTTTTACATGTGTTGTCCCTCAAACAGATGTCAGTCCCCTGAGGAGGGGACCTGAGTCTTGACCACAGGACATGACAGATTGTAGCCACTGAGTCACTAAGGGATGACAGGCAAGGCCATAGTTCCTGGGGGCTGCTCAGTGGCTCAAGGGCTGTCATGTCCTCTACCACTACCTGAGAAGCCCCCACAATTGACCTGTCACCCACTGCCAGAAGCGGTGGCAAGGAGCAAGCTGGTATCTCAGAGACCCCATGGACACTTGGTGGAAATATCTTCAAAACAGAGAGGCTGGTGCCACGTGCTCTAGGGCAAAGCTGGAGTAGAGGTCTGTCGTCTGTCTCCTGGGTACAGCCCGCCTCTCCCTGCCACAAGGACTGTCTCATGCTGCAGCCGAGTCCCCAAGGCCCACCTGCAGTCCACCAGGGCACCACTTCTTACCTGGCCTTTGAGACTTCCCCAGGTGATGAAAAGGACGTGGCGCGACTCCGGCCTGAGGGCAGCTCGCTGGGGAAAGAGAGGTCCTGAAAGAGCAGCTCCAGATCTCTGCCACTTGTGCCCTGCAGCTTCCATCTGGGAAGCTGCCTGTTGAGGCCTGCCATTTGCACATCACCTTCTTCCTCGCCCATCTCCACAGCTGTGTGTGGCATGCACGCCCTGGCACTTGGGTCTCCCTGCTGTGACTTTGTTCAGGGCTTGCCCTTAACAAGATTGCTTTTCCTATACTCCAAATCCTAGCTGGCTTGTGGCCACATGGCCAGGCGGAGCTCCCCTCTGCTTCCTGGGTACAGATGGGCCCCGTGGATCATGACACCAGCCCTCGACACTGCTGCCATCCCTCCTGGGCTCCTGGACTTACATGGTGTGGCCCTCGGACTCATCCTGCTTGGTGATCCAGCTCTTGTCACCCTTCAGGGTGGTTCGGACTTTCATCTGCTTGAGGACATTATTGCGTTCCTCCTCTCCTGGCGGCAGAGGCTTTCCTGGCAGGGGCAAGGCCGAAGAGCCTCAAAAGGGGGCTTCCCACATAGCCCTCCCACCACGCTGATCCTACTCTGCTGCCTGGAAGGCTCCTGTGGCACACGCAGGAGGGTACAGGCCTCACCTTTGGGGCTGCCGCCCAGCGCAGAGATGCTCATGGTGTTGCTCTGCCAGTCACTTCTCAGTCGATCCAGTGGGGCTGCTGGAGGCACAGGAAAGCACAAATGGCTTGTGGGGCACTGCTGCGGTGTGGATGGGACCTGTCCCCCTTGGGCTTCCATGTTGAATGCTCGTTCCCAGAGGGGGACAGCAATTAGGTCACTGGGGCGCTGACCTTGGAAGGAACTCACAGGACCCTGGAGCAGGCTCCTATCAAAGAGCCAGCCTGGCCCTGCGCGGTCTCTCAACAGCTTCATGTGTCACCATATGAGCTCCATCTCTCATGCTCTCCTGCCATAAGCCAAGAGGCCCTCACCAGAGTCATACCGACACCAGTCCCATACAGTCCCACCTGCACCCCTCACTTCACCTCTGAACCTCCCAAATGGGGAGCTAAGTAGATATCTTTTCTCTCTAAAGTATCCGTCCCCCAATGTTTCATTGTAGTAATGTAAAACAGACTAATGCGATCTCCATGTGGTCCCTAGCACAGAAGGTCATTTAGAGTTTCTTTGGGAAACTGGGGGTGGCAAGAGTTGGTAGACTCCAAGTTGAGGACAGAAGCCAGGGAGCAGGCACTCGCTGGACCTGCCACTGCCAGATGACAAGCCCACCCATCTTCCCTGGGCTGCTCACAGGCTGCCAGGGACTGTCTGCTCCAGTTGTTCGCTAACAAGGGCAGACTATGAACCGCCCAGAGAGTGCTAGCAGCTGGACTGAGAGCCTCCCCAGTGTCCCAGAGGCTGGGGAAGTGTTGGATTCGGAGTGTGGGGTCAGAACACATCGAGGCAGAGCCCCTTCACAGCTGCCAGGTGCCTGGGAGAAAGCCAAGTGCTTGGGGAAGCAACTGCTTCGGGGGGGGGTCAGCTTCTGCATTTCTTAGACCTCACTTCTGGGGCTGCCTCATTTTGCTCGTTTGCAAAATAAGCTTTCAAAGGTGTAACTTTAGGGTTGCTGTGAGAACAGGAAAAGTTCTTGGGCAGTTGGACAGGTGCTAAGGAGCTGGAAGGGGGACGGTCAGGGGTCCCCAACCAGCACAAGGATGGTTCTTTCTTGTCCCGTCTATAGTCTGTGGGGTAGTGTCATTGGGGCCAGGGAGAGGTTTTCTCTGGGACCTCCATGGTGCCGTGCGGGCTGAATCAAGGAGGCCAGCTTTCCAGGTTGGAAGTGAACCGGCATCACAAGGAGACGATGGGCCAAGGCTGCAGGTCTGGTAACTGCTCTGAGTGGCCACAGCTGAGCTGGGGCCACAGGGGAGGGGCTGGGAGGTAGGGTGTGCTGGCACGCAGGAAGCGGGGCCTGCCTGTGCCAGCACAGTCCTGGTGCAGAGCAGCCTTCCTGGCCAGAGCCTACCACCCTCTAGGCCCGGGCTCTGACCAGCTTGGTACTGTGCCAACTGGCAGGGCCTGGATGTACTTCCACGGAAGTCAGGGGCACACTAAAAGTGGCAGGCCAGCCCACCAAAACCAAACCAAATTCACCACGCCAGCAAGAGTTGACTTTCCCATAAGCTGCACCGAAAGAGCAGCGGCAGGCAGCCCACGCCTTCCACCTGCCAGGAACAGCACTTCATCACAACGCCTGGGAGCCCCACATGCCCAGCAGAGCCCTGCTGAGTGGAGCGCACTCCGTAGGTGACCTGACACTTGCCTAGCCCAACTGTCCCCATCTTGTCAGCCTGCAGAGTGGCCCTGTAGCGTGAGATCTTAGGCGCCTCGCCTCCTGCTCTGTCTGGCTGTGAGGCCTTCGCTGGGTGGCAGTCCCTGGCCCTCTGCTTGATCTGTAGGTTCCTACCAATTGCACTGGGCACCTCAAAGCCACACCTTGGCAGAAGTTCTGTGCCGGCTCACAACCAAGCAGCCAACTGTTTGTATTGGGACACACTCACACATGTGCAGAATGTACATACATGAGCAGAGCGGCTACTGTCAGCTCCTAGGTTAAAGGGACAGGGACGTGTGGTAGACAAGGCAGACCAGGGTTGCTGTTTTGCATCCGTGTCTCTCCTTTAGGCCTGGCTGTGATAAGCCTCCACCTGGTGGGCTGACAAATGGTACTCGCGTCCTGACCCAGCCTGTGTGCTGGCTTCTCCCTCATTTCACCACCTGCACCCTCCAGGCTCGGGTTGGGTCAGGTCAGGATTACTTCTGTCCTTCTCCCTAGTCATGCTGCCTCCATCTGCAGCTCCTCCCTTCCACAGCCTTCCCTGGCTCCTAATGCCACTCGGTCCCATCAGCGCTCACCTCCATTCACCTTCTGATGGAGTCTCACTGATTCTAAGACGAGAAAGGAATACGGGCCCAGGGGACCTGGGCAGCAGGACAGCCAGCACAGATGAGCATGACCAGGCAACACCCTCCCGGTGCTTTTAAGGCAGTAATTAGCAGAAGGGAATTCCAGCAGCCTGGGGAGAAGCAACCGGGTCTGCTTCTCCCAGGTTGCCCCTGGTCCTGAACCACGCTGCCGAAAGATCCCTTTGATGGGGCCCTGGGAGGTGCTGAGAAGCCCAGCAGCTCCAGTGTGCGCCTCTCAAGTGAGCACCAAGCACACAGCCCAGAGAATGGCCCCAACAGCAGACAGCCCATCTGCAACTGCGGGCACTCAGCACACCTCTATCCTCACTTCACTGTGCCCACAGCAAGCCTAGAGAGGGGTCACAACTGGTCCAGGGACTCACTCCCAGGGATCGGAGTCCTGGCCTACACAGGAGCCCTGCTAACCCAAGGCTCGTGCTACAAAAATGCTCCCTGGAGCAAAGGGACAGGGCCCAGGTGGCCCAGGCATGCCCACTGACAGCCACCTGGCACCTGGCGTCTGCAGTGAACTTCCTCGCTGAGGAAAGCATTTTTCAGACTGGGGCCAGGCCTAAGTGGGTCTCTCAGCCTGGCCGGTCACTGCAGCCTCCAAGCACGTGACCCGGAACTCCACAGAGGACAGCAGTCCTCATTGCCCACAGCCCCATACTCTCTACCGGGCCCAACACACTGGCTCTCCACTCAAGCCTTGTGCTGAGATTCAAGGTAGAAGAGAGAGAGAAACTACTGACACGAAGGTACCACTCACTCCTAGAAGGTGAAGAGCCAATGGTCTGTCTCCTGCCACCTACCCTTCCTTCCAGTCTTTCTCTTCTGTGAACCTGGGCTACCCCATCCCAGGAGGCCTGAGAGCTATCTCATGGGCTGTGACCCCTGCTCGTGTGAATTTCTGCTTCTCTCCCCTAAGTGGCCTTACAGGCTGAGAACACACGCTCTGGACCTGGGTCTCATCTGTAGAGTGGCACAGAGCCACGAAGTCTGTGGACCCACCCACTGGGTCTCCTCTTGCAGGGTCACCCCAAAGGTAGAGCATGTGCCTCTTTCTGGAATTTTCTATCCCATAGCACAGGTGTCTTGAGGTCGATGGCTGTCTTTGTTTCCCAAATGGCCCACATGAGAAACTTTTAGTCACGTCAGCCATTCTATTGACCTTCCTGGTACCGTGGACCCTATTTCTACCTTGACTGGAAAATAACTTGATTCTTTGGCAACTGTTTTATCACTCTGCTTAGGGCCTGGCCTGGGTCACCAAAGGAAGGACTAGCTTATGTGACACCTTCCACACCAGCTTTCCCTCATGGCACACTCCTGGATCCCTGCCAGATGCGGCCCTACTCAGAACAAAACTTCACACTGTGGCTATCTCTTGGAGCACGTAGGCTGAGAAGAAAGTAGTCAGGGAAATTTTCCCTGACAGGACAGGCTAGAGGAGCCGGGGACAGTTCTGAGTTTAGACAGCCTCTGAATGCCAGTAGATATGTTCCCTGTCCGCTTTTCTCTCTGCTAGTGTAGTTTCTGAAAACTCTGCCCAGCAACCTCCTAGGGAAGGAGCCCTCACCCTAATTGGCTACACAGAAGTAGGGAACCAATGAAAGGGCTGCAAGGAGCCTGACTTCGTGGTCATAGTAAGTCTGCTGTCCTCAGTGGCTGACAGAGGAAAAGCTGACACACACACAGATTACCACATGCAGGAAATCAAAAGCCAGTGACACAAATGCTTAGCTGGTGGGTAGGGTGTCAGAGCCGAAGAGAAGCACCAGAAGACAGCATCCTGCTACGTTTAACCCAGAGAGCGTCATAGGCCACACACACACACACACACACACACACACACATACATAACAAACACATACACAGCAAACACACACATACAGTAAACACACACATACACATACAGCAAACACACACAGCAAACACACACACACACACACACGGAGTTGAGTCACTACTCCCTGGCTCAGGGACACAGCTCAGTCTCCACACTCCTGGTCACACTGCACACTGCACTAAAGGGAAGGAAGTGGAAACAACAGTAGAGAAGGCAATTGTGCCTGGGGAGCAAGATCAAGTGGGCCAACTGAGGGGCCAACTTCCTGGCAACCACGTCGACGCCTCCTGTGCAAGGCTGGGCAGCACCTACGGTGATGAGTATGGAAGTACATCTGGCTTTATGTCTCTCTGGGACCTTGAGTGCCACTCTACCCTGGACACTCACTCTGATTCTGCCACTGCCCCCAAAACAAAGAACTCCCCCGCTTGCTTTTTCTCTCTCCTCTGCCCACCACAGCTGTGATGGGCCAGCCTCTTTCACAGAAGACAAGGTAAAGGCAGGAGAGAAGCCAATAGGCTGAGTCTGCCTAGCCCACAGCCCACCTTCAAACTGGTTGGGCCCGTCTAGGCCCAGGGTTCCGGGCCCGTGGCACCAGCTGTCTGTGGTAATTAGGCGAGAGCAAAGAGCAGGCTGAGCAATCTCCTAGACCAGGTGGTAGGAGAACAAGACGGTGTCCAAAATGCCAGGCAGGGGCCTCCTGGGTAAAGTGGAAGGGAGGAGGAGCCTCTCAGAGCACACGATGGAGCTGCACACACAGGAGATGAGGGCAGCTTGTCTGAGTCTGTGTGCACTGGGCACTGACCCCCTTGAGCAGGTAAGAATGGGAATGCCATGGGCCAAGGTGCGCAGGGAAGCCGTTCTTTCCCAAGGTGATTCATGCTACTTTGCAACCAGGAGCTACCAGGAAGCCCAGCTCCCTTTCCCCATGCCTCACGATACCTTGCGGAGCCTAGTCCCTGGCCTGACCAACCCATGGGCCCTTAGGGCAGCCAGGCTCGCAGGGATCTTGACAGCTCTGTCTCCATCTCCTCAGCACAGGCCACAGCTCAGTTCTGGGTGGGCCTGTCAGGTGTGGGTCAGGAGTCAGCATCAAAAATCCGCAGGACTGCGCACAAGCCTATGGCCCAGTGGCCAAACACAGATGAGGTGAGGACATTGGGGTGACGCTGTCAAGACCGGAGCTGCCCAGTCCAAGGGCCGACCACTGAGCAAACGATGTTGGCCCTCCACAGGAGCTCTTCCTGTTGCTATCAGGGCCTCATTTCACCAGCAGGACCATGAGAAGGCCTGCTCCCCACTCCCCAGTTGTCTCTGCAGGTGAAGAACCAAGGTCCCAGGCCAATCTTAGTGTCTCAAGAGGCACTGCACCATCTTCAGACTAGACACCCAACAGGGGAAGTGGGGCTGAGGAGTCAGAGCCCACCCCACCCCAATTCTTTCTCTTTTCCCCCTTCCACCTAGAATAGCACACATCTTCACAGCTGCCACCTGCTTAGCCTTTGCCAGAGCAGGATCGGTGACAGGAAATCACCCCTACTTGCCCCTGGGTAATATTAGCCAGTCAACAGAGCTACCTGCCTTTGTCCTACTTACAGGTGAGGATCAAAAGAAAAAGAAGAACTAACCTAGCTGCCCCTCTCAGGCTCCAACAAAACCTCTTCTCTCCTGGGACCTGGACCTTCCTCACCTCCCTCTTTCTCACCCCCAGTTTAGCCCAGGCTCCGAGCTGCCTCGCACCAGCCTTTCCAGTAAGGGAGAAGAACTCACAGGCCCGGATGGGAAAGGCACTCGCTCAGGGGCGTGCTTCCCTTTCTGCAACAAGCCTTCCCCTGAGGCAGAGGGCCAGGCTTAGTGCCTGGGGACAGACAAGAGCTGGAGGGAAACAGATCGGTCCTGAGGGCGATGCCAGAGGTCTGCAGCTCCCAAGGAGGCGCCCGCCCCTGCCCTTGGCTCCCGTCCTAAAGTACGAAAGAATGAGCTCCTGCCAGCAGAGTGCTGAAGCTAGCCCTGCCTTTCAGTTTTTGTTGTGGCTTTTTCCCCACAGTTGGAAGCGGGCAGCGCCTGATGTAAGCATTTTCAGCAGGAATCCCATGCCTCCGTCAGTCTGCTGTGATTGGAGTCCTTTGGAGTCCTTGTAGCTGTTCTCTCCATAGCAAACTTCCCTCCCCACCCCTCCCCCCCACCACATCAAGCTCTCTGGGAAACTGGCCTCGTCATCAGAAAGTGGTGTGCTGAGCCAACAAGCACATGGCCAGGGCCAGGGCCTGGATGCAGTGCTTGAGGTATGCCTACAGACGGGGCCAAGGCCGAGGACCACTGGCGGCCACCAGCAGCAGCTTGACCCAGCCCACTGTGATCCTAGAGGCCAGGGGTTCTCCGGAGTCATCCCAAGCCACCAGCAGCAGCCCCAAGGGCAGCTCTGCAGGAGGGGGCACTCAGCAAGCATTAAAGAGTGGGTATGGAATGCCTACTCCTACTCTAGGCCTAGGCAAGCCCTTCCTGCTTCCCACCCTCTCTGGAAATGGGCAGTGAGCACGCTCCCTGTGGGAAAAGCCCAGCACTGCTGAAAGTGGTCTCTGAGCTCCTCTAGCAACCAAATCCCCTGGGTCATCTGCGTAAACTGCAGACCCCTGCCTGTCTCCCCACCTCTGGCTCTGAGTCTGCACACTGGTCCTGGAGAATGACACCCAGAGGGTCATTCCTGTCCTTTGGCTTTCCCATCTCTTCTCCATCTGTCCTGTCCCTCCCACTTCCTGTCTGCACCCCACAGTTCTTGGTCATCCCAGTACCCCGGCAACCAGCAGGGCAAGTGAGCGGAAAGTGCCCACCCAATGCTTCCATGTGTCTTCAAGAGAAATGAATCTGGCTCCATTTATAAGTTGCCAATGGGACTTGAGCAAGTCCCTCTCTGTGCCTCAGTTTCCCTTTGGGAAAGTGAACTGGCTCGCTCTACTTTCTCCTCCAAAGCCCCAATTGAAGAAGGGATTGTGCCATGTGTCCCCAGCCTCAAGGACTCAGGAGTTCTCCACACTGTTCTTACAACATGCTATTGACTTATCAATTCATTCAAGATAAGACAGTGAAAGCGAAAAATTAGAACACAGTGGAACAGTTTGGGCCTCTGCAATGTAGGTGCCCTGGCAGGCTCAGATTTACAGAGCTAGTTCAATGATGGCTGAGCTGGGGACTCTCTGAGCCATTTGGTTGTCCAGGCCCTGCCTCCCTTGCCACACACCCTCCTGGCTGTAGACCCCAGGCAATGCCATGCCCACAGCACTGGCCTCGCTGCTTGCCTGTAGGCATAGTGGGGATGCATGCAGAGGAGGTGCAAAAGCCCAGAGCAGTGGAGCCCCAGAAAGCAGCTTTCCCTTTCCCAGGCACTGGTCCTGCCCCTGCCACAAGGGGACTGGCAGTGAAGGTGGCCCCAGGGCTCAGCAAGCAGCAGGCCAGCTTGTGTTACAGGTGACCTGGCACCGTGTACGGTGTGGGTTGAAGCGAGATACAGACCAAAGGGATCAGTGACCTGTGGAAGTTTGAGTGGGAAAGGAGGTGGCCAGGTGCACTGGGCTGGAACCGGGGTGCTCGCTTCGTGTGTAACTAGAGGCAGCTCAGCGAACAGGTGCTGGTGCCTACTTTGGCCAGCTCCCAGGCCCAGGGGTGGGGGCCCAGAGTTCCCACCCTGTGGGATCCTTCTGGGGCTGCAGTGGCACTGGGCAGAAAGACAAACACACAAAGCAGACTAAGGGCAGCTGCGATGGGGATGCCTTTGAGTCAGGAGGGCTTAGTGTGGAATCTGGACTTGAGCTGCTGCCATTCCTATTTGGATGGCTGCTGCCCACTGAGTGACTCATCTGTCTCCCTGCATGGTCTACTACCCTTCTGGACAAGGGGGGGGGGTGATTGCTCTTCCAGCCCTTGCTGCCCTGCTCTGGAGAGAGGCTGAGGGGCACTGGCTTCGGCCTTCCAGGAACACAGGAAAGCTCAAACACAAGCAGCCCCACAGGATGTGCAAGCTTCAACCTTCAAGAAGCTGGCCCTGAGCTGTGCAGCAGAGCTACCGCCCTGCTCCTGGTGTGGGGGGCCCCTAAGGTTTGGATGCACCCAAAGGCGCAGTACCTTGTGTGCTCACAGGCTACACCCGTCACTTGAGTCATGGAAGTGAACAGATTTTGAGTACCTACTGTGCCTGCGCCCACACTAGGTGCCTTCTACCAGCTCCACCCTCTGGTACAGGGTGGAAGGAGAGGGCAGGGGCAGGTGAGATGGTTCTGTTCTTTCTGTCCAGGCATGATGTGAAGAAAGACACAAACACCACAGCCCTCCAGAAAGCCGCCCTGGGCTGTGCGTCTGTGTCCTGGCTGCGTGCTGGACCCCAGGTGGCCCTGCCGTTTCAGATGAGGTTCTGAGCAGGCCAGACTTCCCTCAGCATCCCTCTGCACCCTTGTGCGGCTCTAACCCAGAGCCCCTTCCCCATCAGCCTGTGGGCCCCTGCTTCCTGGGCCCAGGTAGGCCCCGTGAGCAGAAGTCGCAAGGGCCATGAGACCAAGGGAAGATTAAGGTCAGTGTGAGGAGCCTTGAGGTGGGGTGGGAGAGGCTCTCCTCAGGCTTCAGCACAGGCAGAGCACCCCGCCCTCTGCCGACTCTGGGTCCTGAGGTGCTGCAGCTGCACCCTGAAGGGTTGGGGGTGGGTGCTAAGGACTCAGGGAGAACACAACTCCTCTGGCACTGCACCGCTGAGGTCCCCAAGCCCTGTCTCGCAGCTCCTTGGAGCACCAGGCCACCCTGGACGGCAGGTGGCCTAGTCTGTTGCCCGCGCTGTCCCCCGACTTGGAAGTATCAGCACACACGGGCAGACCTGAGCTTCTGGCCTACCAGTGAGGCAAGAAGGGAAGGCTCTGCCCTTCCCCAGGGGCAGGGCTCCGGACTGCCCTACCCCCATCACAACAATGGGCCACAGCAGGGCACTGCAGATCCCTCTGATAACACCACACAGACACTGGATTTGGCGCCTTCTGTCTGAGCAGCAGCAGCTCCCTTCCCCAGGGCCTCCCTCCCATCACCCTCTGTCCAGTAGCACCCATCGAAAGCCACCAGCCAGCCCCTGGGGGGACTCTCGGGTGAGCCAGTCTCTGGCTCTGTTTTCTCATCTATAGAATGGACGCCAGGTACTGGGCAATGTGAGAATCCCTGGATTTTGCAGTAGCACCTCTTGGATTGCTCTGCCCCCTCTAGCCATGGTCCAGCCACCAAAGGGTCTCTTCTAGGAAGGGTAACAACAAAGGACCAGTGCAAAGGGCCAGAGTCGAAAGAACTGAGTCCCCGAGGGAGCCCAATGAGGGATGCTTGCAGCGGCTGAGGTTACAGAAGGGAAACTGAGGCAGGACCCTACTTGTCCCCAGCAGGGCAGTGGGTGGCCCTCGCTGCCTCTCCGCTGGGCCACGTCCGACAGCGACTCGACAGCCCTACCTGGCGCAGGTGCCCGGCTCACGGGGTGGGCCCGGGACGCGGGGCGCGGGGCGCGAGCTCCCTCGGGTGGGCAGCGCCCGGACTTGGTGGGACGGCGGGCGCAGGGCGCAGCGGGAGCGCTTAGGGAGGCGAGGAGGAGCGGACTGTACTCAGCCCGCACGAGAACAAACAGGTTTTCTCCAGCGCTGGAGCCTCGCCCCTCGCCCCTCCCCTTGGCCGGCCCCCTTCCCCTGCCCTCTCCTGGGGTAGGTAGGGAAGCCTGGCACATTCCGCACATTCTCCCGCCAGCGGCCTTGGCCCGCCCCCCGGCCCGGCCCGCCCCACTGGGCTGCAGGAGAAACCGAGGCTGGCGCCCGCGAGCCCAAGACAACCGCGGAACTCGGGCGCGGTTGGCGCTTCCCGGCACGTTCCTCGGCCCGTGGCCCTGCCCACCCCGACGGGATCTGGCCCAGGCTCTGGGCCAACGAGTTGCACAGATGCTGCGGGCTTCACCCCACCGAGAACTACCCTTGCTAGATCCATTTTACAGATGGGGATCCCAGACAGGGCGGGGAGGGCCGGGAGCTGGTGGCTGAGCTCATGCAGGAAGTCTCGAGGCTGGGCCAGGAAGGGGGAGAAGAACGTGTAGAGCTGGCCGCCCTGGGGGATGCGGGCGCCCACGCCACAGCAATGGGGCACCTGGCAGGCTGGGCCAGGAGACGCAGGAGGACCCCAGAGCCAGGCAGCATGCTAAGTAGCACCCACTCATGATGGTCCAACCCTAACGGCGCGAGGCCGTGGGCTGGCGGCAGGGATGGAGGCTGCCAAAATTATCCTCCTCACACTCCCTGGGAAGCCAGGAGAAGGGGATAATTAGACCACTCCAAGCGATGGCATAGAGTGGGCCAGAGCGACCTATCAGAATGATTCCATCAAAAGAATGGAACTTGACAGGTCCTCCTTCCTGGGGGCTAGCCAATCCTACAGCCCAGGGGCTCCTGCTGCATCCGGGCCCTGAGCACCAGCCTCCCTGCTGGCTTCCCTACCTTGAGGCTGGCCTCCGTCTGCTCTCAGTTGTCCTCACAGGAGTCACCCACTGAGGAGCTCACAGGCTTTGAACAGCCGGCCGGCCGCAGAGCTCCCTTGCTCAAAGCCTGCTGGGGTCGCCCATTGTTCTCGGGGTGGAAACCAAACTGCTTAAAATGACCCACACAGTCCCCTGTGCCTTGAATCCACTGTGTGTCCTCTCTCCTCAGGGCACTTACTTCCTTATTTTTTTAAATTTATTTATTTTAGTGTGTGTGTGTGGCCAGCTCAGCCCACCTGGGGGCGGGGCTGGCTGGCATGTGGTGCTGGGGGATTGAACCGCTGTCCTTGTGTTTTGCTAAGCTTGTTCTAAATAGGTGCTTTAGACCACTGAGCCATCTCACCAGCCCACTTACTTCCTTATTATAGGCAGCTAACTTAGGTCAAAACATTATTGGAAAAAAAAGTATTGGCAGTCATTCAGGACCTAGGCCCCAGAGTCACGGCAGAAGATAAAAAGGAACCACAGCTGCGGGTGGAGGAGCGTTTGTTGAAGCCCAAGGCTCAAGACAAAGATGAAATGAGCATACCAACAAGCCTTCCAGCAGGATAAACAATGAGGATCAATGCTGTAAATGGGCACCAATCACCCGGGTGGGGGGCCGGGACCTCCCGACCCATCTCTTCGGGGGAAGGTCCTCGTTCTTTCCATGCACATTCACTATGTGACTTGCTTTCCCCCTGGATCAATACTACCTAAGTGGCTGCACTTGTAAACTTAGTGGCCGCTCATAGTTTTGTCTTGCCTTATGCACACCTGGTGATTTGTTCTATAAATCTTTGAGAAGTGGGCTTGTGGGCAACTTACTTCCAGTGTCCCTTCCCATCCCTCCCCCAGTAAATCTCTCTCTCTCTCTCTCCTGCTTTTCCTCTCCCTCTCCCTTTCCCTCTCCCTTTCCCTCTCTCCCTCCCTCCTTCTTTTGATACTAGGAATTAAACTCAGGACCTTCAGCTTGCAAGGTAGGTGCTTGTGCCACTGAGCTATATCCTCAGCCATGGGGAATAAGAACTTGGCGTACTGGATGTCTAGCAGGTTGGGAGTTCTAATATCTCCCTATATCATTTGCAGGGCCTACATCTCTCGTTCCGAGAACCTTGATACTCACACTCCCCGAGGCCTTTCCCATATCCGTGGCTGAGGATTCAACACAGTCACCCATCAACGCTTCACAGAAGTGCCCCTGCCCTGCCCAACACCTGGTACGGTGCCCACTTCCTTCTGTGCACTCCCTGAGAGGACAGTGGCCGTCACCCCTCACTGCTCTAGAGGGTGAGCTCTGGGAGGGCAGTGTCGTGTGATTCATCACTGAGCCACGAAGACCAGTCCATCAAACTCGAGGCATCTGTGGAAGGGGGTGGAGGGGCAGCCAAGACACTGGACCTGGCTTCCCCCTCCTTTCTGGGCTTCCCCTGATAGGGAAAAGATGGCCCCAGGGCTCTGAGGGAAGGGGTTGTATATAAATCCTCTTCGTTCCTCTCTCTTTCTCTGCTTCCATCATGCTGTATCTGTCTCGAACGCCTCCCTCTCAGCCCACTCCATGACTGGTGGCCATGGACTTGCCTTCTTAACTTACCCCCGAGGACATCAAGGGCGTCATACTCACCCTTGGCTCTCCGTTTCCCTCAAGAGTCTTTAGCCTAAAGAGGTAGGATAGAGAGCACATGGGGCTGCGTCAGAGGCGAGGGAGGAAGAGGCAGGCTCTTCTAGCCCAAGACTGCCCTCAGGAAAGGTCACGCTAGTTCCAGAGCCTGCAGCCAGGATGAGCCATCTGAAGAGTGTGAGTGAGACTGTCCAAGGACAGAGCTGGCCAGCGAAGGCTGCCCCAGGGTGAGCTGTTCCCAGGCCTCAGGCTTTTGCCCTGTCCCAGGTGACTCAGGCCCTGCCCAGGCCAGAACTGTCGCGTCAACCCCAGCCAGAGACCAGCCCCCAGCTCCTCCCTCCTGGCCAGGCTGCCAGGCCCTGCAGCAGATCTTGCCTGCAAACGGGTTTGACTCGAACAGTAACTGCCCTGCCCTGCCCTGCCCACCTGTTCACTGCCCCAACAAAATGTCGCAGCAGTGCTTTCATCCCCCCTCCTTGCTGTGGCCACCTCGTCAGCAGGCTCCTGATGGCTTCTTCAGGCCTCTCAGACACCAGAGAGTATTATCACGTGACAGAGAGTGTTAGCACACTGCCGGGCATCCTGTATCAGATGCCCCCTTTGTTTGGAATGACATTTCCTCCCTTGGCATACTAGGTGACCTCCTGCTCACTCTTAGCTACCTTGGCATCTCCCTGAATGTTCCTTTGAGCCTCTCTGAGATTGTGTGCCTATTCCCACCTTGCCTGACCTTGGTGGCCTTGCCCCTGCCCACATTGTTCTTTTATGCCTTCGTCCCAGTCTCCAATCCAAGTCAGAATTGGAGACATCTCGCCCCAATCAAGGCCCTGTCCTGAGGGCCCAGGTGCTGGTTGGAAACGGGGTGGGGCAGGGGTGGTAGGTGGGCTACAAAGGAGACAAAGGGTCTGGAAAGTGATGTGAATGGCAGTGGCTCTGTGTGGAGGGGGCCACAACTCCAGAGTAGGCAACTGAGACAGATCTTCTGCGAGGCTAGATAGAAGCCAGCAGGCAGGGTGGGGAGCAGGTAGCAATCTGGAAGAACAGGTCAGCAGCACTCCCGAGCTCCCAGGGAAGTGCGATTCCCACCATCGGGCTGGATGTGCAACTCAGGCAGGCCTGGCTAGCTGAACAGTTCCCAGGCCTCAGAGGAGGAGGGTCAAAGCAAGCAGTAACCCTGTACCAGAGGATCTTCGAAACAAAATTCCTGAGCCCTGCAGGTGTGCAAACGAGGAAGTGGAGGCCCAAGGAAGAACAGGACCAAACCCAGATCTCACGGCTCAGCCGAGGCACTGGGTGGAGTTGTCCAGAGCCAGGTCTCAAACCTGGGGTTCTAGTTGTTCTGGATGCAGTCTCCGCCCAGCTGGCTAGGAGCTGGGGTGCTCAGGTTCATATGTAGGGAGGGCTGGGCTCCTGCTTGTACCCCTAATCCCCTCCTCCCCTCTCTCCCTCCCTCAAGGGGCCCGCCCTGCTGCCTCATCCTGCTAAGCTCTGCAACCAGTTTCCACTTGCTGTGTGACTTTGCTGACTCCTAGCAGAGTGGGTCCCCCAGGGGCAGAGCACCCCAACTCAGGCCCAGTGGAACCTTGAGCCTCTTCTGCAACTGGATGCCCTGCTAGGAGCTGGTCTAAAAGGGAGGGGTGTGGACCCCCAGCCCCCCAGCTCTTGCCTTTGGAGCCCCTGCCATGCCTCAGCCTGTACCCCTGACAACAAGGCTGTGGCCCCCTACTCTGGCATGCGCACACACAGTCACTTGTCAAATGTCCTCACTTTCACACTGTCACCCCATCCTGCCCAGAAACCAGTACCTCCAGTCCTGAATCCAACAGCTGCCACCAGCGGCATCAGGACTGGGGCTTGTTGGCTCGTGGACTGTGACCCCCAGGGAGCAGTGGCCTTATCTGAGAGCCAGAAGACAAAGAGGTCGCTCACCTCTGAGAGTTGCCTTCTAATGCCTTCTGGCCGTGTGCCTGGACCCCCACTGCCCTTCAAATCCCCCAGCTGAGTCAGCCCAGGAAGCACTCTTCGGAGGCTCAGAGTGCGCAACCCGGTGCCCTGGCACACAGCCTGCCTTTATCCCTGCCTTTATCCAGGCTCTGCCTTCAGAGCACAAGGGACCGAGCTACCCCAAGGCCCCACTGGCAGATAGGCTCGCATTCCCTGAAAAACGGCTTTTTGCCACTTTAGGAATCATCTGCAGATTGGAAAAAGCATGTTCTAATTGGAAAACCTCCCAGCCATGGTTTTCCGGAGTGTTAGTGCTGTTTGGCGGCAGGGAGCCTCCGGGGCTGAGAAGGGAGGGAAGCCAGGAGCAGCAGCGAGCAGGCTGCTTGCCCAGCACTGCCTCAGCCACCGAGCCCCGCTCAGCTGCTGCTGGGCAGCAGGCCTCTGCTCAACCCAGGGAATCTGACGCTGTCTGGCCCCAGCTGAAAGTTCCTCCCTGGAGCCACCCCAACCCTGTCCCCTGGAAGCCCCACTGCT